TTTGTTTTTATTTTTAATGTCCAACTTGTCAATGCTCACCAACGTGGAAAATGCAATTTACGTAAAGGTCGATTAAACAATAAAAACCGGATACCTCAAATGATAAGTTATTGAGTGTTTCAAAACATATCTGGCCAACTAAGAAAAAAAGTATAATGTAAAAAATAATAAGTAAATGCGAGTTATGAAAAAAAGTATGTAAATAATTTTATATTCTATTAAATGTCTTTTGAAACAATTGAATTTGATTAATATTTTTTTTAGGAGAATCGGGAGTCAATGGATATTCGATCTTCGTCTCATTATGAAAAAAGGCAAAACACGATTCTCCTGTCCTTATTCTCTTAAGGCCCATTCACAATGCCAACATAAACATAAGCATATTGAGTACATAAAAGTTACGACTACGTCCATAAGCGGATTCATTCACAATGCGTTCGCATAAGCATAACACGTAAGACGTTAACTTAAAAGCTTCTGTGCTTACGATTAAATAAGACAAGAAATGAACCTAGCAGTACATTAACTCAAAATCGAGAATCGAAAAATGAGCGAAGTCGATAGGCGAACTATGGCCATATGGGCCATAGACATTTCTAGAAATCGATTTTCACATCCAACCAATAGTAAACTACAATGTCTCACAGCCAATAGAACCTTTAATTTTACTTACATTTATGTTAGACATTGTGAATACTTCAGTCTATCACTTATGTTAATGTTTACATTTGCAATGTGAATGGGCTCTTTAGACTGTACAGCTTTAGATTACGTACCATTTCATCATAAAGCTTTGGAATAAAAATATTTTTGTGAAAAAATAGTGAACATAACGTGAAAAGGGGTAATGTAGTGGAAGTGTAGTGCATATTTTATAAAGGGAGGTAGCGGTAATCTTCCTCCGCTGGATGGTGAGATCCGGTGCCGACCTACCGTCGGCTAATGTGGTTTCTCTTAACCAGTTATCTTCCACCAGAGGGCACCGCCCCAGCCGGGACAAGCTCTAAGTTCCCGACCGGTCTCCTAGCATGTGTGGTCGAGTGGTGCATGTAAGTGTAAGCGTGTGTAAGTAAGAGATAGGATATGACAAGGAAAGATCGCGCGGTTTCTCATCCGATTCGCCTGGTATTGATAGGAGAAACAATGGAAAACTACCGATCAGAGCAACCGACTACTAGAATTATTCTTCAGACAGCGGCAGAACTCCAACATGCTATCTGGCTAGTGTCGAAAATCCCGGCACTCTAACCCAGTTCTATCTTATCGCAAAGGTAAAATATATTTAATTAATTTCTGATGCCTGTATTTTAGTATATCTTCTTTTCTGATATTAACCCTTCACTCTTGTCAGAATCTGCATTTCAGCTGCCTCCAATGTTGTATTTGTTTTTGTCACTTTCTCAACTACTCAGTCATATAGCGACCACTGTAACTTTTAACTTTTATGGTTACGCTTACTAATTAAAAAACAACCCAAACACCCATGTCCGGGACGGGATTCGAAGCCGCGACTCTTCCAACCACGGCCCCTCAGACTTAGCAGCCTTAGCGACCTCGACGAGAATTGTGTCGCCCCTAACACTGTTTCCTAATATTTTATTAATTACACTACATATCTGTGGAAATTTTTGAATTTTTCCCCTTTCAGACTTAGCAGCCTTAGCGACCTTGGCTATCCAGGCCGGCACCTTCATTCTTTACGATCCCCTCCATTCTTCATGATCCGCGACTAACTTCAATACTTGCAGATGAGAAATGGCATAACTATATTAAATTTTAGGATTGTGTCGCCCCTAACACTGTTTTCTAATATTTTATTAATTACACTACATATCTGTGGGAATTTTTGAATTTTTACTTTCTCACCTTCGTTAGAAGAGAAAGTATTGTAATCGTGCACTGTGAAACGGCTATTTTTCGACACAAAAACTCCTATTGCCGTGTCCTTTTAACGAAAGTGTAGATAAATCTTGTTCCAATATTTTTTTGTTCTATCGTAATACGTCATGTAGGCAGAATCTACGTTTTGTGACTCCTGAAAATTGCAAAAATTCAAAATTGTCTAGACGTCCTCTTACAACTACAAAATTGTTGATGGAGATATTTTCCTTAAAAAATCTGTTCTTCAAAGACAGATCTTTAAATCAGTCTTGTACAAATCTTTGAAAATATGAGTAGTTTTTGTGTGATATTGCGTGAAATATAGGCAATTGTCAATTTTTTCTCTAAAACTTCTTCAATTTATTTTTAAAAAATTTTCCTCGTGTGTAGAAAAAAAACCTTAAAACATGTGATGCTGGTTCCAGTTTTGGCGAACTCTGAATTTTAGAAAATTTAAAAAAATAACATTCCAAAAGTACAATTTTGATCGTAGAGATTCTTTAAAATAAAATTTGTTCTGACAAAAATATATCTTCAAAAATAGTTAAGTACATTTTTTATTATATTTTTCTCCCAGTTCCTACTTGAATGCAATAAAAATTTATTCTGAAAGATTTTCTCATGAAAAGTTGAGAACTTTGCATCTTTTTATTTCTGCTACCGATTAGGCAGTAGAGAGAAAAATATGCAAAGCTACGAGAAATAAATGGCGAATTTTCGGCAGAAAACCTATTATTGCCGGGCAATGGTAACGAAAATGTGGATATATCTAGTAGCTAAATTTAGGAAAACATTCCTCTACACGCGGTGTGGCCATAATCCATGTTTTGTGCGTCTTTCATACCGAAAAATCGATTGACGGCAAAACGTGTGTCCGTGAACAACGCTAGCGGCTAAACCATTCATCCTATTTGCTTCAAAATTGGCATTCCCCTATCGATTTGGTTGGTGTCGCGGCCCCTTGAATTTGAAACCGAAGTTTTAATTTTGTTGAGTACTTTACAGGAAGCCCCTAGGACATTTTCAAAAAATGACTCCGTTTTTTATTAAACTTTGTGATTGAATAGTGTGAAGGATGATTAAGAAGAAGAGTGCAGGTCCCATGTTCGTTGAAAGCCCCGACTAGTCGAAAACTGCTTAGGTTCATAATCTTTCGGCGTCTTCTTACTGCTAAGTTATTAAAGATAGAGATTGTATGCCTTGATGAAATTTGTTTCTTAAAAATAGATTTTGAAATAAGGTCATCAACAATTTTTCAAAAAATTGAGTATTTTTGCGTAATTTGGCGTATAATATTGGCAATTTTTAACTTTTTTCTCAAAGACGGCCCCAACAATTTTAATTAAATTTTGACCTCGGATAGCGCATATGACGCAATATACACCTGGCCCCGCGTGAGTACAAACAGCGCGGGACAGAGGCGCCCTCCTCCACCCCGTGCCACAGGAAGCTAGCTGCGGAACAACAAATAAGATCTGCAACAACACCGGACGACAAGCTGGAGTCCCTGCATAGATCTCGAATAGATTTATGTATTATAAAAATATATGTATAATAGTCATAGAAGTAAGAATTTACACTAAGCCAGACGGCAACTGAAATGTATAAATGTATATATTACATTAAGAATTAAATATTTGTGTTAAAAGAATGGTACAGGTTTCATTTTCATTAGAAATTATGATTTTTGAGAATTGCAAAAATTGAACGCTTTTTCGGCGTTTTCCCATAACTACAATTATGACGATAAACATATTCTCATGGCGAAATGTGTTCATCAAAAATAGATCTTCAAATCATATTGTCTTCAATGTTGCGAAAATATGAGTATTATTTGCGAAATTTTGTGTCAAACATAGACAATTTGTATTTTCTTTAAACCAATTTTTTTTCTTAAAAACGGCACATTTTTTTATTAAATTTGGGCAATAGATCGCGTAAAGGACACATACGTGAGTGGTGCAGGTCTCATGTTCGTTAAAATGCCTGGCTTTTTGAAAATTTAAAATTTTGTCTTGTATGTATTCAAGGGTCGGTAAAAAAATATGGTGCTAGTCTCACTTTCGGCAAACTCTTCGTATTTTCGAAAATTGCGAAAAGTTAACATTTCAAAACTACAAAATGTAAGACAGTGTGCATTGTCTTAAACAAAGTCTGCTCTAAAAAATTAGCTCTTTAAAATGGTCATGAACATTTTTTTGAAAAACGCTAAAAAAATGTTTTGAGACAATAGAGTTTTTAAACGTCGGCTGGAATTCTATAGATACAGCCTTACCATAGCGTGTAGGTAAGGCTCACGGCGAGTTAACACGAAGGATCCGAGTTAGAGTCCCAGTGCGGAAATAAATATTTGCTGGTTGAAAGCACTTTTGTAAGATTATATAGCGGTATAATGTAGCAGAGCAGTTAGAAATAATGCGAGAAAGTGTGCAGCACTAATTCTTTACATTTTTTCACGGAGAGAATAAAGGACGCTTAAAAAATGGAACAGGATTCATTTTAGTTGACCCCTTTGAATTTTCGAAAATTGCAAAAGTTATAAATAATGCAAGATGGTATGTACTGTTGCAGCACCACTGGTTTCTAAAAGGACAGCAAAATGTAAACCATACTTTGCCGTCCGATACCTCTTCACGCATACGTGCTCAGCACAGCACAGCAATCTCCTTAAACCACAAATATCCTGGTCGTAACCCCAACAAAAACACTTCGAACACACTGAAAAAAAAAAAAAAAAAACACGGTCCTTTCTCGGACCCCGTATGCTGTTGCCGAATGGAAATGCATGCGCTAATGCATGGCCATCTTTTATTAAAGGCCTTTAATAAAGGTTGGCTACACTAGCGCATGCCTCGACCACCGACTACGAGACATCACTGGGGCGTTCCTATTGAAATAAAATAAAATTAACTGTTAAATACATCATCTATACCCGCGATTGACTTATTTATTTTATTGGTTGATTCGTTGTTTTTCGTCTGATGTATCCTTTTGTCTCTTTGCGTCACGCTCGGGTAACATAGTTACACTTTTCGCATAGCATTCTCATATTGTAAGTTTCAAAGGTTGGCTTCGCTTTGTGGAATCCCCGACTTCGTCAGTGAGAGCACAGTACAATTATACCAAATTATACTGTGGTGAGAGCAAGCAGAGATGGTGTTGTATGCTCGAGCGTCGAAATTCTGTGGTAATTGGTATTGCTTTTATATTGGCGATGAAGTAATAAGTGTTTTGGTAATTACCTATGTATACATTTTATATTATCTTCACTTGTATGCTGGTTGTATGTGTAGAAATAAATAAAGTTTTGACTCGTAATATATCTTCGAGGCAGTGATGTCAGTAGTGTATCAATAACGTCGTGTATAATTCATCATACATCATTCTCTAGGTGCAAACGTTTCTGCTAAGAAATAATGAATGTGATTTTATTTTGATACAATGCCAATTTTTAAAAAATTCTTAATTTAAAAAAAATCATATCTATCACAAATGCAATATGTTATGGGAGGAAGGTGTATATTCGACCGATTCCTTGAGGCAATGAAGATTCTATTTTGGTTTAACAGTGATGATAGATAAAGAGGGAGGAGGGATCTTATTCGGAAATGAAAGTATTCTGACGACAATTGCAATTGTGTTTCATACCAAAACCAATTATCTTTTGGATTTTCATTAAAATATGTAATCACCAAACTGTATTTTTGTTAAAAATATTTTCATTTATTTGCTATGACACTGTTACTATTGCCTTGTATTGTCTTGAGATATGATATTCTTGTGTACGAAGTATACAGAACCTGTATACGTCGACGTGTGCCTAGCGCTGAGCCTAGAGCTACATTCGAATATTAAAATCTTTGTAACCATAAAAAAATTAATAGAATAGAATTTTCATTAATACTGAATGGTTTACTTCTTCTGTGTATTTTTCCTACAAATTTATTTTATGAAAAATGCCATAGAGGGTTAAGACAGTTTTTTATTGCGTCAAAAGAAACGCGATTTTGGGTTTCTCTTTCCTTGTAATTGCCGTCACTGGTTTCAGTTGCTTACATCGTGGTCAAGTCCAGGTCAAGCCGAAGCGGCCCGAATCGGTCCGAAGAGATACGAATCCGCGTCGTGAGTTGAACATGTTGAAGTATAGGAGGACGACGTGATCGGGTGCGTGTCATATGGTAACCACGAAAACAGTGCTGCAGCAAATCATTGCGGTTTGTGTGAATACCATCTAATCTATTGGGGAAAGTGAAGTGTATATATGTGTTGGATTTGCTTTGTTGTTGTCTTGTAAAGTTAACTCACACATTTTCAAAATGTCATCAAGAGTGTTAAGACGGTTGCAGGGGAAAGACAGTTTCATGGAACAGATAGACGATATCAATGACACGTTTGAAGACTCTGTTAATTACGGAGGAGGAGGGGCCAGACGAAAAGCTTTGCCGGTCAATCCTTTCGATGTGGTAAGTTGCGTATTCATTGGGTTGCTTGGTACTTAGTGTATTTTCATTTGGAACATGTTTTTCTTTTAACATGACATTTAATATCTGAGAAATGTAATCCAAATATGAATTATCATCACCTACAGTGTCCTTTAACAATTATTGTGCGTGTGACACTACGATATAATACGCCATATGAGATACATTTAACAGTAATGCATATTTGAGAATACATTACATGTATACATGCATTGCATGATGTTTGCAGTGTATTAGTAAAAAATGTTTCGTGTAGAATTTTCTGAACAAATTGTATGCTTTCAACCGAATTTCATCATGAAATAATTTTTTGTGATTATTAATGTAATGTATTAGGAGGTTGAAAACCTATAAAATGATGCCAACTTTCTTCATAGTATTCATCATGTATTATGTATGTTGACACTATGTGAAATTAACTATTAGAGAAAAACGTTTTATTTTTTATTTTCCAGGAATATTAGTCTCACACTAATTACTTGGTTGAAGTAATTTAATTCTACTTTAAATTGAAAGATAACACCAAATGTAACATGAATACATGATGAATTATACAGGCTCATAAGATTATGGAAGTGGCAAAGTGACACATGGAAGTGACATGATATTATGAAATCTATTTCAGAACAAAAGTTGAATGAATAGTAAATATGTTAAACCGAAAAAGGGTAATTATTGGACTAAAAAGTTTGATCATTTCTTAAGGAATATATTGAAAAGAAAAAACAATTGACACTAGGCAGACATAGAAGAAAAGTGAAATGATAGACAAATGGTCTCGGTGGTGGTGGTGGTGGTGGTGGTGAAGGTTTGGAACTGGAGAGGGTAGAGAAAGAAGGAAGCCGTGAATAGAGAGGAGTTGAGAAGTAGAATTTGGGGTAGGTAGTAATTCTAATCACATTCTGACATGGAAACAAACCAGTGGAAATAAGTCATTGTTTAGTGGTATTATATTTCTATTAATATTTATTGTTATGTTAATGGGATTTCAAAGGATTACAAGTAGTTGCAATTATCAAGAATACAAAATGTGTATTAATTATAAGAAACTTGACAGTAATTTATCCTCTTATTGTTAAACCAAGATTAAATGAACAAACAAGAATTACCTTATTATTCATTGAATTATCATAGATAGAGATTTTTTTATTTTCAAATACCATGGCAGAAAAATGATAATATTGATGTTTCATGAGGAATCCTAAGTCTTGCTGCATGGAGGTTGACATGTGAAAAGGCATTCTGTGCTCAAGTAGGTAGTTTTTCAGTTAATGGTTTAATGAAAATAGATTTAGAAAGACCTGAGACTCAATGACTGTCTGCTATGGTAAATGGTTTCAATGCAAATGTTTCAACCTCTTAATATGCAAATCACATCCTTATTTTAAGTAATCAATAGATGTTTGATATAAAAATTCAGCAAACAACAGGGCCAAATAATAGGATTTGGCAGTGTGTTAATGTGTCATGAAGACTGTTAAAGGTTTCGGTGTCCATAAAATACTACAATCATATTTCCACCTCCAAAAAAACGCATTATGGAGAATTCATTAAAAATACTTTTTTTTCTTTCATTCTTGTTCCTAAATTATGGTGAATAGAATAACGAGAATGTTGCTTGACATCACTGGTTTGGAGACTGTAGAGCATTCTTTTCCAAATGTTTGTAGTGTCCTTTAAATTGTTTAATATTTTGTATGCGATAGCGCTCAGTATTTTATCCAACTTTGAAGTAGCAATGTAATGCAGCAAAATTAATATTCAGTAGATTTGTTTATGAAATGTGTATGTTTTAAAAACAAAAGCATGCCTTTAAGCTGTGAACAGTTGAAGATTAACGGGGGAAAAATGGATATGAGAAAAAATGTGTATTTTTTAGCCTATGCATTGGTTGAACAATATTAGGTACATTTTTTGAGAAGCTTCACTGGGTGACATAGTCAGCTTTGCTCCTTTAGCACCCATTGGGAACTGTTAATTAATGTTATTAAGTGAATGAATAGTTTGTATTGGAGAATGAAAGCCTTGAGTAAATCATTCTCAAAAATATTAATAATTGTCACAACATTCTGATGGAAATGTATGAATGTATTTCATGAGAATAATTTTAAAAAAATACTTTTAGCATTTTCAGCGACTTTCTCGGGAAAACACTACCACTTTTTCTGTAAAATTAGCTCAGTGTTTTTGGTAGTAAATAGAATTGTAAGGAATATAGAAGTATTTCGGATGAGGTTAGAGTTTATTTTCGTTAAGGCCTTTGAATCAAAAAGTTAAGCACGCCACAGAACTTCTTGGATTTTGTAGAAAAGTAGAGGAGAATGCTAATGGAATAATAGGATAATTGAATTATAGAGATAATAATAGAACAGTGAAAATGTGATACATCTATCACATACTCACACTGGAGCCATCTAATTTTGGATTACAAAATAGAAACTCTTGAATATTTTGTGGTTTCTCATCTTCCTTTTGTTTTTGTTGTTATTATTATTATTATTATATTGTTAATTAATTCCATTCATGGCATTTTGATTTGACAGTAATGAGTACAGTAAGATATGATCACATTTACTACTCAATAATTTTGAACTTACAGTAATTACAACAGCACACATATTGCATATAGGATAATATACTCAAATTACGCTAGGCCTATAACATTTTTCTAAACAAAATTTAAACCCTTCCAGGTACCCGCGATGTCAATTTGCTTAACCTCCGTGTCTTTATGGAGCGTTTAAGCAGTTGGGCTAGCGATACCGGACGTTCACTCAATATCATTCGTTATCATCATATTTTTCCTGAATACTTTTTTCTTCACGCCAAGATTTACATTGGAATTCCACTCGGATAAAATATTTTCTCTCATTTTTAAAATTTAAATTTAAATTTAGTCGCTAGTTTTCTCTCCGACAAACCACTTTCACTCTCAAGAATCATTTTCTCACGATCAATTTTAAGAGAATACTGTTTTCATTTCACTAAATATGTTTTTCGAATATTTGCATATTTACGCGAAAAACTTCTTAAACAATTCCGTGCCTCTCCCAACTAGAAGAAATGAAACTGAAATCGAACGAGCTGCCGTGATACAATGATGTCGTTTCGGTATATTGTTACCTGATTTCCGGAATCGCCCCTGCCCCGAAATCCGGAAAATCTCGCGATTTTTTTTTTTAATTTTATTTTTAATATATCTTTAACTTTTACTTATCTTTCAACTATTTATAGTTAAAATGATGGCTAGGGATTCTGGAACTCAAGAAAACGCGCGCAGCTGATCTTCTCCCCCACACGTTACATACGGTTTTTACTTTTTTTTTTTGGACTAAATCTAAATCCTCAGAGAATTGAAAAACAGGCGCAACAGCGCCTGTAACGCGAATGCTATTAATAGTTTCCGATTTTTGTTTTCACCAGTGAAAATTAAGTGTACTGATTTATTACGAAATTTTCTTGAATGTGGTCTCTTCAGGGTGTAAATTAAGAAAATTGCTATTAGATGCTGGTCTAGGGTAGGGGGTGGTCGGTTGGCACGAAAATATTGTTATAATTTGGTATTTGTGTAACCTGAGGAATGTTCTGATTAAAAATATTAACATATTTTATGACATTCATTTTTGTTGTGGAGATTATTAGGCGGGAAGATATTCCAATGACCGTTCTGGGCTTGCGTGTTCATGCAAAGTTCTTATAGATAAAA